GTGTGGTCCTTCATGATGCAGGTGGCCCTCTTCCTGCATCTGGAGGTTATCAGCTACATTGACCTGCTGGGTGGGGAGAGACAAACAAAACTGGAAATGTGAGGTTCCTTTAGAAAAACCATTAAGTAGAAATGTCCTCCAGTGTGTCCATTCCTCCTGACACACCCCATCACTCCCATTACTGATTCAAACCTCAGCAGCTCCAACCTGAGAGAGAGGGGTGCTCACAAACAAATTCCCCCCTACAGCTTTAATCTTTATCTCATGACATGCCATCAGTTGACTGACAGGTTCACCAACAGTGTAAAGGTATAAAAGCACTGTGTTCACTTTTCAAAGGCATCCTTCTTTCAGCAAGTGCTGCTGCTGCTGCTGCTGCTGCCGCTGCTGCTGCTGCTGCTGCTGCTGCTGCTGCTGCTGCTGCTGCTTGGACCAAACATCACAACAAGGTAACATCTGACTGGTTTTATTCATCAGTACAGAAACAAGTCAGTCTACACCTGATTATATTTATCTGCTGTATAATTTCAATTTAAAACATGTTTCATTATTAATTATTGATATTGCAGATTGAATTATTGTGACTCTAAGGTTCTGTCTGAACTGTAAATTAACTCTAATGTTTGCACAGATGTCGTCACGTCTGCTCGTCTTGTTGCTCCTTTGTGGATTGGGGATTAAACGAAATGTAAGTTTACAAAAATATAAATTTTTAAGTAAATAAAACAAACATGATACATTTTATTGTTGTTTTTCTTAGATTTACTTCTTTGTTGTGACCATAAAAATATTGTTGCTTTGAAATATGTATTAAAAAACAAGTGTTAAAACCTGATTTGACTGAAATGTTCTTAATAAATATCGTTGGTTCTCGTCTCCTCTTGTTTCATTTGTGATCAACATTCATGTTCACAACAAACAGGTTGAAATCTGTTTCTGACTCGTGCTTCTTTTTTTTTTACATCCACAGGTACTTTGTGATGCACAACCAGGTTGGTGGTTTTCTTATTTTGTTCTGGTAAAAGTTCTGGTTAAATAAAGGTTTAATTACAGCAATCTTAAAGCTCTGTGGTACGTAGCCATTTATTAGAGACAAATTAAGCAGATCCACGACATGGTTATTAATTAAGGGAAACACCTCTTTAAAGAGTCTGGTTGGGATGGGATCTAACAGGCATGTGGATGGGATCTAGCAGACATGTGGATGGTTTGGATGAGGTTATTATTTTTGACAATTCAGAGCTCAACAGGACAAAAACTGTCCAAACATAAATCAGGTTCTAGTGACATTTCTAAAGTTGTCTCATCTGACACAAAACCAGAGGTGATAGTAGGATTATTGGTTTGAATTTTTTTCCCTAAT